GATGATACAAAAAAATCAGGAAAAATTTTGGAAGACAAGGAAATGGAATTTGAAGGAGGAGGGAGTAGTGAATGGTATCAAATAAGCTAAGGACCTAACACCGTCCAAAAGCTTTAGAAATGTAGAAGTCAGCTGGGCGCAGTGGGTCTCATCTGCAATCCCAGCACTTTGGGAGGTTGAGGAGGGAGGATCACTTAAGGCTAGGAGTTTACAACTAGTCTGGGCAACACAGTGAGACACTGTCTCTATAAAAAATATTTTTAATACATTAGCTGGGTGTGGTGGCATGCACCTGCAGTGATAGTTACTCAGGAGGTTGAGGTGGGAGGGCGGCTTGAGCCCAGGAGTTTGAATTGACAGTGAGCTAAGATCAATGCCACTGCATTCCAGTCTGAGTGACAGGGTAAGACCCTGTCTTAAAAAAAAAAAAAAGAAAAGAAAAGAAAAAAGAAATGAAAGGAAATACCGAAGTCAATGGGCAATGGGGACCCAGCTGGAGCAATCCCAGGGAAGTTCAAAATTCTCATGATTTCAGGATCCTCATGACTACGCACGAAGCTGTGATCAAAAGGGGCAATATTTGGAAAACACAAGTCCTGAAGTTTCTAACCACAGCTAACATTCGAAATAAAAGAAGATTAAACGTTAAATGGTGCTTGTTTTGTCTGAAAGCAGAAAATGACACAGTGGAAGATTAGCTTAGAATCTATATGAAATAACAAACATAGAAAGTATTTCCTTAAAAATCAAGACTGAATGGTCATATGGCTATTACGCTCTCTGAGAGGTTTTTTCAGTTTGTTTCCATGATATTCATACCCTATATGGTGCTGGAGTCTGTAAGCAAGGAGGAAGGGAGGCTGCAGATGCGGCTGTCATAACTGCAAAAACAAAAAAGGCCCCCGTCCAGCTTCTTAGAGTTACGTGCAGAGGACTCAAGTGGAGTGACAATGACATCCAGGTAAAACTTGGAAGTACCAAGTAAGTGTTCAGGGAGTTCTAACATCAAATATTTACATAAAGGCTGGTAATATCAGCCTAAAAAAGGAGAAAAGAAAATCATTTTAAATGCTGAGATGTCTGTTGTTTATCTAAAGCCCCTCAAATAGCTCAACTTTTATAAGCATATTAACACAGGTCAGGGTTTTATTGCTGATCCCCCATTATGTTTAAACACAGTAATGTATCAAATTCAGTGTGCCACAGCCAGTAATTTTCATTTCAATCCTACCCTTAAGCTCTAGGTAAATTTGAGGCCAAAATAGTGATTGTATCATATTACCTATTTCTGTTGAATGAATGTTAATTCTGTTAATAAATACTACTTCCACAAATACTGTAAAATTCTGTAATCAGAAAGCCACCTGAAGAACATAAAACTCATATATTCAAACCAAATAGAAATTAGACTTTATTTAGATGACAAATGGATCACCAGTTCTTACTATGTCAGTTTCTCTTAACTATGTATAGAGAACATCATCCAACTGAAGAATTTTTATTAAAACTCAAAACACCAACATATTTCAGTATGTCATAAAAATCCTGACCTTGATATTAAAGGAAAAATATTCCACAGTTTTTGTTGTTGTTGTTGTTCCTAACGCCCTTTAGGTCTGGGATATTACACACAAATTAAAGAAAAACTATGCTTCTACAAGCAGGAAATTAGTGTTTTCACCCAAAACGGACTGTGTTGGATCCAGCCATGGTGACTTAAGTGGGCAGATTTAGGGAGCACTGGCCGGCAGAATAGACATGAGATGGCTGCTAACCTAAGCGTAAGTATAGCTGGTTTCTCTATGGTCAAACACAATTCCCCTAACTGGGGGAGAAAAAAATGAATGCAAGGAACAACCATAAATATTAGGCCATGCCATTACTGGTAGGGTAAGATTCCAGATGTGGGAGACCCTGAGATTTGTTTTCATGATTTATGATTCCTCTGAAAGGCCCAAATCATACTTGGTGAGTTTCCTAGGTACAAATGTAAATGCCACTCAGGATGGCACTGACACAGGGAGAGTCAGATGGATGAGGGGTACCCTGGTACTCCTCACTTCTAGATCTCAATAAGATATTTTGTTCTCAGTAGGACTAGAAAGGGTACACTTAAATTTTTCAGTTACATTTTACTAAATTTCATGGAGAAAATTATATTCTGAAGTGAACTTTATGTATCCGGGGACTCAAGAAGGATTCTGGAAGCTATTCCCGATAAAAATCATGAATCTGCTCTATCCTCAAATACTCCTGGAGTCACAGTAGCAAAACAAAGTTCTGAAACATGGGTTGAGTAACTCTTATCCCAACTTATCTGGACCAGAAACGTTCTGGATTTGGGATATTTTTGGATTTTGAAATATTTGCATTACACCTGAAGTTGAGCATCCCTAATCCAAAAATCTGAAATCCTCCAATGGGCACTTCCTTTCAGTATCATGTCAGTGCTCAAAAAGTTTTGGATTCTGTAGTACTATGGATTTCAGATTTTTGGATTAGGATATTTAACTTACTGTACCTTCTCTTTATGCCTCAAAATTAAAAACTTAAAAAGATATTTTTATTAAAAATTAGGAATGATGTGGTAAGAAACTAAACTTTAAATTTTCACAGAAGAAGAATATCCAACCAATTACCATATATTTCAAAATGAAGATGAGCCAAATCATCTAATATCCTGGAAATTCAGGACTGAGATCTCACAAGTCATCTAAGCCCTGCCTCCTAAGATCTGAAATCCTAGACTAGTGTACTTAACATATATCAGAGACTAAGGGGACAGTGAGTAGAGGTTAAATTTTCCTGAAAACCTTGTCAGCCCCACCTACAGCCCTTTCAACTCTGCAGCTTGGAGCCTTACAAACTACTTTAACAGTTTTCTAGAAGGAGCATTTGATGAGATGTATTTTCCTATGGGTAGAGTAAAGATGAAAGGCAGACACGAGTATACACAGAAATTACCTCTAGAACTCAAGGATCTACATCTGGAAAAAATGGAGCTCTGCATTCTCTAGCGCTAAAAACTGCTCCCATCGAAATATGATACTCAGCTACAAAAAATTTTTTCCCTTTTGAAGGTCAGTATGACCGGCAAGGAGCTTCAGTTTCTGGTACAGAAATTAAATTCAACATGGAATCAAAACACATTCTCAAATGTAATATTGTATAAAGGAAATGACACAAAACCAATTTCACTTGTGAAAGCCTGCTGATTGTTCTGGAGAGAAAGAAAACAGCACAGAGGGGGGGAAAAAGGTCCTTCTCTACACAATGATTTCCTGGGTTCATCTTTCAAAATGTGGGCCAAAACATAAATTCCAGTTAGCACACCCCTCAGAGGCAGCCAAGTCTGGAATATGTCGAACAAAGAATTTACTCAGGTCTCTTAGATGTTTTCCTCCTCAAAAATAAGTAAAGAGAGAGGAATCCAGATGGTAATAGGGCCACTCTGGGAGAGGAAACTTTTAGTGAGATAAATAGCAAGGCTCTGGAAATAGAGTTCCAGGATGAAATGAGAAACTGTAGAAAGATGACTATTTTTTGGTTTGTCTATTGTAATTAAATATTATTTGTCTGTTTTTATTAAATTTCTATACAGTATCCTAGTAAGCTAAAATAGTTAAGTGGCAAAGTTTCATGCAACAGCTCAAAAGTCAGACTAAGATAAAGACTTCATAGTATGATTTCTAAAGCTTCCTGCTCTCTGCTCTCAAACTGGAGTGGTGATGATTAACGTGTATGTGGGAGCCGTTTTCCATGGCATCCTGCTCCTGCCAGACCTGGTTCTTGCCGCTCAGATGAGTCAGGCTCAAGTTACGGCTTCCACTTCGACCCTCCCTTCTCCCCAACACAGTTCCCAGAATAGAGACTTTTCCCTAGCTCTAAGGGTTTTCACAAGAACATTCGGAGATGTGATCAAGGCAAGCAGAAGAGATGTGGAAAGGACAGTGGATGGACAGAAAGAAGTTGACTTCTAGGCCAGGTGTGGCGGCTCATGCCTGTAATTCCAGCTACTTGGGTGACTGAGGCAGGAGAATCACCTGAACCTGGGAGGCGGAAGTTGCAGTGAGCTGAGACCGCACCACTGCACTCTAGTCTGGGCGACAGAGTGAGACTTTAACAAAAAAAAAAAAAAAAAAAAAAAGTTGATTTCTAGCAGATGATGAACAGATTATTCAATTAAACTATCTCCTCCTTTAGTGTACATGATTCAAGGTAACCAAATTTACAGTGCAATTACTTATAATCTATATAGACAACTTCTATTCCCATTTTAAAAGTACTTAATCTAGTTTAATTTTAGGCCTGGACTCTAGTTCAAAATGCTGCAGTTTACTGTTAACTCCAGACAAAAGTGCTAGGGCATCCTTGTAAAGGCAGAGTTAACCCATTACCTCTTACAAGGGAACCCTCTATGGCTTTCAATTAAACCACAACCTTTGGGTTCTTACTTTCCAGGATCCCTTGGTCCCTTTCCCTTTGGCTTATTTTACTCAGGACTAAGTGTTTTAACTTACCTTCATGTATATCATCTTCTCCTCACTATTCTTTCCTATTTTCAGAGTAGTGAAAAACATTTGTGTTATACTAGGTTTCCTTCCCATAATCCTTTATTAATAAAGTGACACTAACACAGATATTCAACCAAAAACCTGCACTCTGTTGTTCTTATATGGTCACTGTCACCTCAAAGAGTTGCCAAATTCTAATCCACAGGGCCACTAAGCATGTAGTAATGACATCTATTGATCCTCATATGGAAATTAAAGAGCAAAGCAAAACGCCAGTGTGCAGAGCTGAAGGCTTTGCTAGAATCGATCTCTGTTTATCCCTATGGCTTTGGAACAGTATATGCTTTGAAAGCCACTATGGTATGCACCTCAGTTTCATTCTTCATTTCTAGTAAAATATGAGAAGGTCTAAAACTATAGCTTATGGGTCTGTGTTACTTACATTTGGGACAGAGATGTAGAGCAAACCTTTGAAGGCACACTTACCGCCTCTCTAGTGGGCGCCCGTCACTGGAGATGCTTCGAGGGATGTTGGCGGCTCTTTCTGGAGGAGGTATCTTCCCATCTCCTTTTCCAGCATTCAGCCGTGAGGTCATGGGACTCTGCACCTGGGATGGGACTTGAGGTGAATGAGGCCCCTTGTTGGCATTCCTCTGCCATTTGTTATTATTTCGGAAGGGAAACTTGAACTCGTATGAAACACCTTCGTTCATTTTGTACTCCATAACTGGCATGCGGTAGGTTTCGGAGCAGCTCCTGTTAGGGGCAAGGCACAGGGAGAAACACAATGCATATTGCATTTTCTTGTTGGTGGAACCACACTGATTCTCAGTAACACTTAAAATGGATCCGAAATTTCACCCTATGTTTCAAACCACCTTTCAATCTTTGGGCCCTATACTTACTTTCTTTTCAAAAACCAGAACCCCAGGAAGTATTACAGTAGTATTTTCCTTTACTCAATCCCAACTGTTGAGTGTTAGATGTGGAATCTTTAAAAAACAGTGGGACCCATGGTCACCCAGGGGGTGGCCAGACTACTGAGACCTGAGGAAGAAAAGACACCAGGACAGCATGACAGGGGTATACCTGAGAGCATGCAAGCAGCTTCACACTCCCGCCACTGCACACTGCAACCACGCTCCAAAAGGGTATACATGCAGCTTCACACACCTGCCACTGCACGTTGTGACCGGGCTCCAAAAGGGTGTGCAAGGGTGTCACGGTGCACCGTGGCAGATGTGTGAAGCTGCTGGTACAACTCACATCTCCAAGGAGTACTTTCTTCTTGGGGTTTTCTTATCAGTCCCCCAAATCCCCCCAAAGCCAAGGGTGACCTTTAATCTGGCCCTATGCTCAAGGCTCCACTCGATCCCTTTTATGTTTTAATGGCAATGGCTTTCAAAATTTTCAGATGACAACCTAAGTAAGAAATACGTTTCACACC